ACAATGGAATACTCACCATGACAGCACCGACAGTTCCAGTGATGAGGAGTTTGACTTGTGGGTTCCAACGCAGAGAACAGGAACAGATCAGGATCCACGTGCAGCAGAATTACAGGATGTTTTGGGGGGCCCACCAGCAAGCCTAAAGACAAGACACCTCTCAACACACATCAAGTCTAAAGGTTTAGATGATTGTAGTAATGTCACAATTGTATGGAAGTATAAGATGTTGATTGTATTGTTAAGCTGTGAGAAAGCATGTACATTACACTGTCAATGGAACTTACATTTTAAATATTTACCCAGAAATAGTAAAAAAAATTTTGGTAACATTTTATTTTTTTTTAGTGGGGGAGGGTGTAATGACCTCAAATAATTATTTAATAGGTTCCATTTCTTTGTTTATTGTAGATGATTTGTTCTAATAATATGAAAGAAAAAATGTGTATACTGTTGGGGGCACTGTGTGAAGAAAGACATGTGAGTAAAAAGGAGAGAGAATAAGGGCAGTTAACGCATGTTGTGCAGTGTTAAAGCTTGCAGCCCAAATCTGTTGCAGAAAACAAAAAGAAAAAACAACCAGAATAAATCTACAAAATAAATCTACAAAAAAGCAAAGGTTGTCGTCGTTATTGTCCAAGGGGGTAACATTTCTATGCTTGACTCTTTTCATCGACATGCCACCATTGAACCATGCAACCTCTATACATATTTTGTAATCTTTATATCTATTATGGGATCAATAATCAAAATATTAAATAGTTTCTCCATGAGTATGAGTGTGTACGTGACTATATGCATGTAATGACTTTTGTACAGCATATATGTGGCAAAGAACATGCAAAACCCCTCAGTCAGCAGAACATGTTCTTTCTTTTCAGTGGTATGACCAATGGGTAGAAACAGGATTAGTTCATCAGAATCAGAATCAGAATCAGAATGAGTTTTTATTGCCAGGTATGTTTATACATACGAGGAATTTGTTTTCATGACAGAAGCTCCACAGTGTAACAGAATGACAGTGACAGAACAAAAACACAGATAATAAAAAAAAGAAAAATAGAACAAGTAACTAAGGAATAAAAATATACAAATCGACAATTGTATGTACAGGTATATAACAATAGACAGTTGTATGTACAGGTATATTATGTGCAAATTGAAATGTAGACTGAGTGTGTGTGTTAGATAAATAAGTGTATGAGTGAATAAATAGTGTGTGTTCAAGACTAATCCCAAGGGATACTGTTTATCTTCAAAAAGGTACATTTGTTAGAATGAAATCTCTTTGCACGTAAAGTCTCACTGTATGTAAACCTTTCTGCAGAAATTCAAGCAAAGACAAAGACAAGCTCTTGGTTGAGTTTTTCATTCTACGTTTCACATTTATTGATTGACTTAGAATTTCCACGCCATCTGATACTGGTCTACAATGTTTCTTTCTATGCTTGACTCTCTTCATCTACATGCCACTGTTTGAGCCCTTACCATGGTAAATGTGTGCCAGGTGACAAGATTAAATGAACTGTATGGAAGGTATATTCAATAAACCAAATGTTCATTACACTATAAAATCATAATGTTTTTTTTTTTATTTGTGTATGTATATATATATATATATATATATGAAGAGTTAATTTGCAAAAACCGATAACTCCATTTGTTGTTTTTTTTTTGTTTTTTTTCAGAAATCATGTTTTTTATCAAACTGCAGTTGGGTTGTTTTGATTTCGCAATAATAACTTAAATACTGGTAATTTACAAAATTAAAGTTCACTGAAAGTATGTTTTTTTTTACATATTAAAAGTTTATTTTATAGCAAAAGCAGATAACACCATGTAACAATTAGTCCACTGAAGGCGAGTTGAAGTGAGAACCCAAGTAAATTTTATTTAACATAAAGACAAAACAAAATCCATAAAGACTTGACTTGACTTGATCAGGCTTGACTTGGCATGAACAGACTTGACATGAACAGACTGGACTCACCGACAGCGAGTTACAAGGGAATTCAAGTTTATTCAATTCAAATTTATTTGTACAGTGCTTTTCACGATACAATGTTTCTTTCTATGCTTGACTCTCTTCATCTACATGCCACTGTTTGAGCCCTTACCATGGTAAATGTGTGCCAGGTGACAAGATTAAATGAACTGTATGGAAGGTATATTCAATAAACCAAATGTTCATTACACTATAAAATCATAATGTTTTTTTTTTTTATTTGTGTAATCATGTTTTTTATCAAACTGCAGTTGGGTTGTTTTGATTTCGCAATAATAACTTAAATACTGGTAATTTACAAAATTAAAGTTCACTGAAAGTATGTTTTTTTTTACATATTAAAAGTTTATTTTATAGCAAAAGCAGATAACACCATGTAACAATTAGTCCACTGAAGGCGAGTTGAAGTGAGAACCCAAGTAAATTTTATTTAACATAAAGACAAAACAAAATCCATAAAGACTTGACTTGACTTGATCAGGCTTGACTTGGCATGAACAGACTTGACATGAACAGACTGGACTCACCGACAGCGAGTTACAAGGGAATTCAAGTTTATTCAATTCAAATTTATTTGTACAGTGCTTTTCACGATACAAATCATTGCAAAGCAACTTTACAGCAAATTA